AGCCGGGAGTGGGCACGGCCCCGGAGCCGGGAGTGGGCACGGCCCCGCCCGCTTCACCGTGGTCCCTGCCCAGCCCCCGGTCCGCAACCCCGGGGCGGCCGCAGCCCCCCCGCCCGCAGCCCGGGAGATGCGTCTTCCCCGGGGCTTCCAGCCCCGGCGCTGCCGAGGGAACGGGACCTGTTCCCTGGGAAATTCGGCAGAAGCGAGGTCACCCAGCATTCCGACCCGCCCCACGTGCGTTCAAGGAATCCCGTATCCCCGGTGTCCGCGACCAAGTGACATCAGCAGGGGCGAGAGACTGGTCTCTGCAGCGACTGCGGGACCCCGGGTCCGGCTCACAGCCCTCTGCAGAAACGGCAGTGATTTCTGCTCTCCATTCCTCCTTGAGCACAGACAGCACATCTATAAATCACAGCAGTGATTTTAATTAGCAGAATTATTGGAAAAGGAAAGGCTCCTCTACTGCTGATGTTCTGCTGGCCACACTGCAGAAAGGTTCACTGGAATGGTGAATGGAACTGACAAGCTGCCTGTCACGAAATGCAGAAAAATAGAGACAATGAAGACAAAGCAAATCTGGAAAAATGGAAATTAAAATGTTTTGGCAGTGAAACCAGATTTATTAATGGGCTGAGGGGGCAGATTGTTTTTGCTGAAATCACAGTCATTTTTCATACGTAAATATTGGTGCTGTGAGTGATGTTGGGACAAGTAAAGAACAGAGAGAGGGTGCAAGGCAAGGGGAGTGTTATGCAGGTACCCAGGGATTTCAAGTGCTGCTTGGCCTCCTGACAGCTGTGCCAGCCAAGCCCCCTCGGACACATCAGCCTCAGTCAGCACTTTGGTGAACCAGCTGCCTGCATCTGGTCATGGGCCACCTGGGTCTTAGGATGCACCCCTGGGACAGGGACCAAGCACAGGTAGGGCTGAAGGTGTGTCTGTGGCACATTCAGCTGGGCAAACAGGAATTCAGGTCCCTCCTCATCATCACATACCAGAGAAGACCTGAGAACAGAGCAGATGAGGTGATCGGAGGGGATGAGGCAGTCCTGGAATTCTAGTAACTCCTGTCCTCACCTGGTCTCATTCCTGCATTCTGTGGTCTGGGAAATGGCTCAGTCAGTTCCTTGTTCTGCAGCTTTGCAGTGGGTTTTGCTGCAGCATCTCCGTGCCTCCCAGTCTTACCTTAAGCTTTAAAGATGATGAGTGACTGTCTCATGCTTGTTTCCTTCCAGCCTCCCTGAGGAAAGGAGCCTGAGCTGTGACAGGTTTTTGTAAGGCCTGGGGATGGGGGGGTGTTTCCTTCTTATATATGTACATGTTGCTCCATTTTATGTGGAAGAATGGAAAGAAGAATTCATTGTCTTGTGACTGCAGGTAAAGAAAGGAGTGCTGGGTGGCCACTGGTGTCACCTGGAGTGAGCTTTTCTCCTGGCCAATGCCCTTTCTGACAGCACTTCACCATTTTTCTCAATAAGAATCAGGTGTTTGCTCCCAACAGATTGTTGTACCCCTGCTTCAGAGGAAGCAAGACACTCTCTGCAGGGAATACTCAGTCCTTTGCAAACCTGACAGCTACAATTTTCTTCTCTAGGGAGGGGCAGTAGTTGCTGCCCTTGCTCAGAGCCACAGGGGCAGCATCACTGCTGAGCCTCATGTCCCCTTTGGTGCAGAGCACCTTTTGGCAGGACACTTGCAGAATACATTCAACAGCCCATCACCATGGTGTGAATTTTCTGAGCAGGCTGCAGAGACGTGCTGTGACTGTCACTGCGCACGGAGAGGCGACAGATGGCTCTCACACATTTACTCCTGAAAATACTTCTCCAGTGGTTAGATTCTCCCTTGCTGATCCACGTTCTCAGGGATGTTAATTGCGATTGTGAATTAAATTTATTTTGTTATATTTGTGTCATTTCCTGTACAAAGAAACTGGAAGACATCCTCAGGACCTGTACTGGGAAAATGTACTGGGAGAAGCCAACCCTCACCAAAGGACCTGCAGCCTGAAACCTGGAGCCTTGTGACATCTTGTTCTCGTGCACAAAGCCCCAGAGCTTGGTCCTTTACAGCCAGTCATAGGCTCTGGACCTAATTTCAGGTGAATGTACTGAGTAAACAATGTCCTGTACTCTGTTGCATGGGTGTGGTCCCTGCAAGGTGCACACATACACCTGGTGAGAGGTGCACAAGTGTCACCCCGGGAACACAGACAAAGCTCCTGTTCATCACATCATGCAGTGACCATTCCCTGGATTTTTATGATGTCTGCATTGTTCCATCTTTTTGGACTTGTCATATATGTGAAAGAGCTAGAAACCTTCCAGGTCAAGCTGCAGAGTATTACTAACTGTGAACACTCGAAGTTAAATCATTCAGCTCCAAGTGGTGTGTTATTTGATGGTTTCCCCTAAAAGATAAAGAGGTGGAAAAGCAGTAGAGTTTGAACACATGCAGCAAAAAGATACAAATCAGCAGCAATTAGGAAGGTTAAAAAAAGAAAGAGGAAAAAATCCCAGCCAAATGCACTTTCATGTGTCCAGCCTGTTTACATTCTGGGCTAGAATAGTGCTGATCTGACTCACTGTTGGCATTAATGAAGTTTGCACTTCTGGGTGAGCAATTTAATTTATCTCTGCAAACCAAAGCTCATTATAACAGTCCATAAATGCTATCAGATGAAAGCAGCATCCTTCAGCAATCTCAGGGATTAAAGCAAGGAGGCATTCAACTGCCAAGGCTTCTGCTGGAAAGACTGCAGTCAAAGCATGTGTGTTAGAGGCTGAGGAGGCACAATGTCTTCATTACTGCTGCAGATTTCTCTGTATTAAGACAGTGATCTGGACCCTCTGGAGCACCCCTCTGGAGGTGAGCAGCTTCCTTTTTTCCCCCTCTCTCTCTCTCCAGACATCTCTCCTTAGGGCTCATCTAGCCCAGTAGCAGCTGGAGAGACATGGGAGATGTGGGGGACTCCACAGGTTAGCCAGATGCAATGTCTCTCCTGCAGGGAACAGGAGCCTCGTTGGAGGGGCAGGGATTTGCAGTATGAAGGCAGACAAAGAGAGTCAGGGTGGGAGGAGGAAAGTGGCTGATTCTGTCCTCTTGGGTGTAGAAACCTCCTTGCCACACATCCTCTCCCACACTGGATGCAGCTACTGGAACTGCAGCTCCCAGAGCTGCACTGGCCTTGCCCTTGCCTCGCTCTGCATGGAGGCAATGCAGCACCCACACATCCTTCCCACTGCTCCCTTTCTGCCAGGGCTGCCAGCGTGGCTGTGGCTCCCACTGCAGCTCCAGCACACAGCACTGGCTGTCGGGGTGATGGAGTGAGCCCACCTGGGTGCTCCCTGGCAGAGGTGCTCAGTGGAAATGGCTTCTCCAGCAGTAGAAGTGATCTCCACTGCCATCATGTTTGAAATCATATTTTCAGTTTTGCAATTCTTTTTCACGTGGAGAGTGGTCAAGATGGGCTGGGCAGGGGACGAACAGAAATAAACCCTCAAAACTTTAGTTTCTTTTCCATTTAACTTAAAAAATGAATTGCATATCACAAACTAGGGATAAAACAGTTTTCTTTTTAAAGCCTTTCTTTCAGCAGGCCCAACAGAGAGAGGCAGCATCCTATGGGCTGTGTGTGCCTGTGCCTGGGGAGCCATAGGCTGGTGGGAAGGTCCCTGCTGCATCTGAGGGATGGGGCTTCTGGGGAGTATGCGCCAGCTGCCTGGGGTCAGGTGAGGGTCTAGGCTCTGAGACCTACTGCTGCACCCTGTGTGTCAGTCCCACCCTTGCTTTTCCCTGCAAAACCACTCATGTGCCTGGGGTGAGCTATGGGAACACTGAGCCGCTGGCACTGCCAAGACACAGAGGTTCTGGAAGCTGCCAGGAACCAGCGCCCTCAGACAGCAGCAGAGATGTCAGTGATGCAGAGAAAACCAGCTCCTGATGCAAGGCAAGGCCACGCTGCCAGGTCCTGTGTGCTGTACCCCTGAAAGCCGCAGTGAGCACACTGAGGCAAGTCTGTGTGTTTTCAGTAAGGTAAGACAAGCTGACAGATAATGGGCTTCTCATGGATGCGCAGCATGTGGATGTGCTAAGCCTGTAATTTTGGGACTATAATTGTCAGTAAATTATTGATGCTGTGGTGGAAGGTTGAAGTTAAGGAGAAGGATTCTCATTTCACAAGATTTCCCCGAGGACCACGGTGGAGAAGGTGCCTGCCTCCAGAGGCAGACACAGCGGGATGCTGTTCTGTGCACACCTGGAAACCGGCCTCATGCCAGCTGTGCCATTTGCTCGTGCTGCACATCCACAGCCTCTGCTGCTGGAGTTGTGCAGAGGAAAATGCTGGAGCAGCTGCAGCCCCGTGCGTTGTGAGAATAATCCTCTGTGCTGCAAGGATTTCTTCAGTCTGCTGCCAGCGTGAGGAATGAGCACCCGTTCCCTGAGCTTCAGTTACCACTTGACAACCATCTCCATTGTCTCTGTGATCAAAAAGACAGTGCAGGGAACTGTGGCTGTGAGTGGCAGGTATGTCTGAGGGGTTCTGTCAGATCTCTTCCACCTGCTGCTCTACCTTTCAATCACAGTAAATGTAATTTACTGTGATACAGGCATAGTGTCACCCAGGAGGCACAGCTTTCCTGGTATGTGTGATGCAACTGGGACGTCTTGTCTGTGTCTACCTCTCTGTGCTTCTCAACACTGCAGATACAGGTGAGGAAAACACAGAACAGAGGCAGAAGGAATCTTTCTCTTGAGTTGCCAACA